GACAGACTGATTGATAGGGGCCTCAACCAATCTGACTCGGGTTCAGTTGAGATAACCGGTTATAGGATGGTCCATGTCTCTCCTCCTTCCTCTTCATCGCGTGCTTCTACCCCCAAAGTCGACTGGGCTGAATATGATCAGGCCTTGTTGGATGGTGGTCTTGTAGAAATAATGAGGAGTCCTCGGGAAGGCTCTCCTCGCCTCGACTTAATTCCTCGAGGTATTCCTATTAGTTTGTTAGATATTCTCGTGAATAGTACAAGCCCTGTACCTGTTTCAATAATTACCCCTCTCGTCGATCCTCGAGAGGTTGTATCGATAGCCTGTCCTCTGGCCAAATTGGCCACTTTGAATCTTTTTTCTTATGCCTCTGCTGCTCAAGTCGAGAGATTTAGGCAGTTTAGCGGGCTTCCCTCCGATTGTGAGTTGATTACCCAAGGTCCTGACAGCGATTTTGCTTACCCTCCTGAAGGTTGCCATACTTTCTTTGTCGACCAAGTCATTTTTGGCCTGCGCTTCCCCATCCAAGTCGAGCTTTTGGAGATAAGTGACCTGTATAGTATCCCAATAAATCAGTTTTCTCCCAACGCTCTTTGTATCATGATAGCTTTTATCGTCGTTTCTCGCATAATTCTCCGCTTCTTCTCGGCTGAATTTTTTCATTACTGTTATAGTTATCGACTTCAAAAGGGGGCTCATTGTTTGATCCGCCGTTCAGGCGTTACCTTTCTCGACGACCTTTCCTCTAATATCCCGGAGTGGAAGCCAAAATTTGTCTTTATTCGGCCTCCCGTCGGTGCTTATCCTTATGCCGATGATTGGATAAGTACTAAAGTTGAACAGAATAAATGGTCTCGATCCGAGAACTTCGAAAAACTTTTGGAGGAATTGAATAAGTGTACTTATAGTGCTCGGCGCATAATAAAAGACCGTGAGTTGGTCAATCATGCCCGAATCGTTTTGTATGACGATCTCTCTCGGCTCGATGATCCTCGTAAGCTGTTCAGCATTCCTTACAATGTCGAGTTTTGTTTCTTATTTTCTTCTAACCTTCGCTTTTATTTTTTTTTGTTTCAGTTAAGGCACTCAAGCGCTTTGAGGTGAAGAAAAAACAACCCGCTGGGCAGCTAGCCAGTGGGTCTGCCCCTCCTCCACCCGGCGGGTCCGGCACGAAGTCGACTGCTGCTGCCAAGAAGCCCAAGTTCTCGGGTCCCAGTGCCCGCAAGAGGCCTCAAGACGCAAGAACTGCTTCTCTTCTTCCCGACGACCTTAAACGTCGTAAAGTCGACAAGGGCAAAGAGAAGGTCGTTGAAAGGAACACTGCTTCCGCCGTCACCTACAAGGACGTGCTGGTCAAGATGCCGTCTCGGCTCTGGAATCATCTGGAGCCGCATAAGGTGGCAAGATATCTAAACTCAGTGCTCCCTGAGGCCGACAAGGCCCGCGTCGAAGGGAATGGCTACGAGCGTTCCTGCTATGCTACGCAATGCCTTACTCGGGTAGGTGCTTCTTGTTTGAGTCTAGTGTTTATGTTTATTCACTCTTGCACTATTTGTTTACTTCTCTCCTCCCTTTTTTTTAGTTCCTAGCAGCCGTTCTTCCCGGCCTCGAGGAGGGTACCCAGGCCCCTACTTCCTCTACCAAGGCCCTTGAGGACAGATGTGAGGCACAACTTAGGGAGATTGCTCAGCTGAAGAAGGAGCTGGAGGGGACGAAAGCCTTAGTTGGCAAGCTAAAGGCCGACAAGGTCGTGGCCCAGCATGACAACGAGAAGCTCCAGGCCGCTCTCGAAAAGGCTCGGGAAGAGAACATGTATGAGGTGGACATCGGCGTTGTGCAGGGCCGAAAGTCATTCTTAAGGACTGGTTTAGGCTCTGCCTTTGTCGAGGCCTATCGCAAGGAAGTCGTCAAGGCTTTCTGCAATTCTCCTGAGTTTCTCGACAAGCTTTGCCCTACCGCCGTCCAATATTTCGACCATGCTTTCGACGCATGGGAGGCTGTGGTGGCGGGATCCGAGTTTGCTGGGAAACTTCACCGTGAGGCGATGAAGCGTGCGCTTCCCGACCCTGATGGCTACGAAGGCGATCCATCCCTTCCGGACGACTACCCGTGGTGGTCTGGTCTCGAGGCCAAGACTATCCGAGATGCCAAGCTCTCGTATCAGGTGGAGGCCCCCTTGACTTCTCCAATCCAGTCTGACGGGTCCAGCCATGAGGAAGGTCGTGCAGTGACCACCCTCGAGGGGAGCGATGGAGACGCTGTTCCTTAGTTGTACTTTTGGTCTTGTTTCCTTTTATTTTCTGTGACTTTTTCTGTCATTTGTTTTTACTATTTGTTTTTGTCTCGACCTAATTCTTAGATTGTAAAGGTGGAGATGATTTTTGTAATGAACCTATCTTGTCTCCTTTTTCTTGAGTTGTCCTGTACTTGCGACTTTATGATTTTAATTTGTTTTAATCATGCACTCATCGAGGCTTCACTCATAACTTCACAGTCGTAAATTTGTCGACATCTTATGTGTTGACACTTAGTTAAAATGACAATTTG